CAATGACGTCACTGGTGGGAAGACTTAAATGTGGCGCAGCCCCCAGCCATGAGGTGTAACGCTGCGGGGCAGCTAAAACGTCGGAAATCTTCGTGCAGATTATGAACAAGCTGTAAGCGGAAGATGCATGTGCCAAGCGGTCCAAAGGCGTATACTTAGGCATGGAATGTGAAAATGTACTTGGCAATCTTGTGCGGGCAGCATTATAATTAAATCGGCGTGGAAATTAAAGACGCTTGCACGAGAACTTCCGCAGGGATGAGCGGCCGGAACTTCAGACTGCCTTAGTACTACTATCGACAGTGAGTTAACTGTCGGGGCAGGTGTATATCACCAAGCGGCCGGATGCGCGAAATTTAACCCAGAGTGTGACGATGTGCAGATTGTTAGTTTATACGGCGATCGGATAACGTGCAGTCAGCGTGAAAAGGAAAGACGTGCACGCGCAAAGCGCTGTAGGGAGGCGTCCTGAACATTGGGGTACTTCCTTACCAGAAGTGGTTAGATTGTTTCTAATAGTTGCATGGATTTGCGAACCGATCAGGTGGTGGTAAATGGCAAGCGTGATCATGTGCTTTATGAGGTTATATCTAGTAAAGCTGTTTTAAGTTTTATCGGCGTTGGTCCAGCCATAAATCATGTTTACACGGACACGCGTGCTGTTCATGAGACTGTGTACACGTTACAATCTAAGGGTTCACAGCATAACCGCTTCTGAGCGTTGGAGGCCAAATAAACTGCCTTTGTGGTGAAGCAAGTTTAGTTAACAGAGATCCTTCAGTTGTACAGTTAACGTGGCTCTGGCTAAGATTGGTATCACGGGTACATGTCCTGCTTTTCCCCATAGTTCGGCGTTTTTTAAATTCTACCCACATATCACTTTGGCGTGAACCCGCGCTGTGGTGGGCGGGGTTCAAATTGACCCCCTCCGAAGGGTTTTACAGAATCATTTCCGAACGACGCGACTTGCATAGCTGCAGAGAATGAAAAAGCGAACCTTGTGATGTGAAAAATGAATTGTGCAATGCAAGGTTGCTGACCTACGGCAGGTCAAAGTCAGGCTATGGCTGTCAGCGAAGGGCATTTCTAGGAAATCGTTCATGGTGATGCAACAACGGAGTGTGAAACGAAGCCATACATATTTGAGAAAGATTCTTAGGTAATTTACCAATGGGATTTAGAATGACAACCACTTCCATAGACCTAGAGTCTGCTATGGATGCCAGAACAAGATCAAGACTAACCTTTTTTACTCCAGGGCTTGGTTTTATCGGGTAGTGTCTGCTGCTCATTTTGAATTTATTAATGAAATGGACCGCAACTGATATGTTCCATGGACTTCTTAAAAGGTAAAAGATTAGGCCACTGACCTAAAATGACCCAGGTCAACATTTTGTTTTTAGAAACACACCACCTAGCGTAATCCCCGGCGCTTATTCGAATGACGAAATAGAAGCAATCTCGCAGATGTTTGGTCACGTTGGCCCTTCAAATGTCAAACAAGGTCACTGACCTCGTTAACCTTTTCCTTAGAACAGATATCTAGCTTGTCGGCGGTTGCATGAGGACGTCTTGGGGCTACAGATACCAATCTGGAGTTAGACCTTGCTTGACCTTATTTAGCCCAAGGCCGTGACCCAGGCACCAAAAATCTTAACGCAAGTGTGCTCATGTACAGGTTAGTCTACCTGATGAATTTGGTGTCCCTAGCTATCTTAGTCTTTGAGATCTCAGCAGGGGGGCATATTGAACCCCGCCCATCCGTGCGAAGGGTATTCAGCTGGTCACCTGGGCGCATGGTAAACATAGAAGGCACATCAACAATGCAAATGCCCACCTATCGCTGACGGCTTTTTAACTATCTGCACGATTCCTTCGATGTTCCGGTCAGAGGCGTCACTTTATGCACTCCCGGGAAGGGGAGTGAGCCCTTCCTCCCCCAATGCTCTTTTGAGCCCTCTCGATTGATTCAGCAAAAAGAAAATTTCAGACCGAATAAATTTCTACAAACCATCTGACCTTATACACTACACACTGTCTCGAATGTACGGGCACACCCCGTACATTGTGGACACGTCATAACTGATATTATTTCGACATGATCACATCTGGATTGGGATAAAGAAGATTTAACTGCAATGTGCTGCAGTCACTTTAAAGTCGAACACGCGCCCGGGCGGCCGGCTGGATACCCTTCGCTCGGGTGGGGGTTTAATTTGACCCCGGAGATCTCATGAACTATGGGTGCTACAGACACCAAATTCGCAGGCTATGTTGACCTGTACATGACCTCACTTAGATTTAAGTTTGAAGTTCCTAGGTCATGACTTTTGGGTCAAATAAGGTCAAGCAAGATCAAATGCCAGGTTGGTCTCCAAAGTGCCCCAGAGCCTAGATAGCTCTTTCTAAGCGAAATGTCACATGCTCATTTAAGGTAAGTGACCTTGTTTCACCTTCTGAAGGTCATGGTGACCAATATCATACAAGACTGTTCTGAGTTTTGCATTTGAATAAGCGACGAAGATTACATTTGGCAGTATGCTCCTAAAAACCAAATGTTGACCAGGGCTATTTTAGGTCAATGACCTGCTCTGACCTCTAAGAAGACCATAAAATATGTAAAATGCTGCTGCTGCCATCAGTAAATTTGAAATGAGCACCAGAAACCATCCCATACAGTAAGCCCTAGAGCAATAAAACAGGTTAGTTTCGACCTTGTCTGACTTTCATACCTGACCTTAGGTCAATGCAATTTGCTCATTCAACTGTTGTGTTGTCTAAGAAAGCATTTCAGAGATGTATGGCTTCGTCTAACACACCGTTGTTGCAACAGATTGAACGATTCCCCAGAAATTTGCTTCGCTGAAACCATGGCCTGACTTTGACCTGCCATAAGTCAGCAACCTTACAAGGTACGTCTAAATTGTGTCGCCGAATAATCCGCTATTCAATTTTCTACAGCTATGCCAAATTTGCGCCGGCTACGCCGCGCCGTTCGGAAACCATTCTGGAAAACCCTTCGAGGGGGGGGGGGGTCAATTTAACCCTCATCCGACCGCGTGTTTAAGTACAGGGTGGCCCAGATACACCTTATCTGATGTTCCCCTCAACGACGGCAAGTGTATTTGTCACACAATTGGGACGGGGGTTATGCAATGCCAACTGAATAGCATCACACGATTAAGAACAGCGGCAGCCTTCACTAATTCCACATCCATCAAATCGTGAGTACAAAAGGTGTTCCAGATACCCCCGGATACCCATGATGCGCAACAGCTGAACCTACTGCAGGTGGTCTACGGCAATGCGTGCCATATTATATCTGAAGATGGCCTAAAGCTTTTGACGGTTCGCTGGTTTGTCCACTTGGACGTGGTCCTTGAGGTTATCCCTCTAATATAGGGCGTACAGCATGAGGTCTAGGGGCGACAAGTTGGGCGAGTGAGAAGCCACAGCGCGGCAGTCTTAAGCCGATGTGCATTGTATGGGAACTATCCTCAAGCCGATCCAGTGGAGCATGTGGGGTGTTCGGTGTCGCCCCGTCCTGTTGGGACCACTCTTCGTTCCGATAGATTCCGTGAAGTCGCCCCAGGGCCGCCCTGAAGGGTATCCAAGCGGTAATGATGTAGCACGCTGAGGTGGTGTTAACAAGATACTCGTTCTCAGTCCTTAAAGAGGCATCTTTTGCAGAATAATGATTGGACGAATGTGAGATCGGTGATGACTTGCATTTGTTTTCACGTTTCATCATGGAATGACCATTCGAATGACACCGCAGCCTTGGTTATGCAAGAAATACACTAGTCACTGTTAATTTAAATGTAGGTTGACTGTACATCTGGGCTGCCTTGCATGAGCGGCGCTCTCACATCGAAAACGTTTGCTTATTTCACCTTTCTACGACTTCTTGCGAGCCCGACGTATTACTATGCTGAGAACTTGTGGCATTGTCATGACCCCATCCAATGTTCCGTGTATCCGTTCTCCCAGAAAAGAAGGGAAGGAAGGCGCGTCTACGTTGGCACGGCTAGTTATCAGAAGATACGTGATCCGCTCTCCCCGTTTGTGACGTAGGGATTACGTTCTTAGTAGCGGTGTGGTTTGCGGAATTCCAAGGCAGTATAGTTGGGGTGGCCATGAGTTTTTTGTTTAGCCAGAACCTTTTGAATGAATGTATTTCTAGGGTCAGCTACCACGTTTGTCAGCTACCAAGTAGTGCTTGTTTGTTGAGCCTTAACCCCGATCGTATCTTTACGGATCAAAGCAGAGCTTTGTGGCAAAAGCTTGACATACCGCAATGCTCGGCGCGATCTGTCCTGAGGCCTGACGTTACCAGACGGTAAGCGCAGTCACCGGCCGCAGGCCGTTGCAATCGGGGACAAAAATCAAACGTCTAAAGCGACTCGAACCCACACTACCATAGGTCTGTGAATCGGAGGTAAAACGCTCTAACCAGCTGATATATCAGGACGGGATGAGCTGGCAAAGTACGCATTGACGACATGTCTTCCACCTGGTTTTACCACGAAACGAGTGTCGAGAAATGGAGTCATCACATTTTGTGCGTCATGTTCCGAAATGGAAGTAGAATTGCGTATAATTGATCAACTTTTAAAGCTTCGGAAATTTACATCTTGGCATCAATGACGTCACGTTTATGTTCCGCGAAGATGAAGCAAGATCACCGGACGGTTTCAGTGCTCTTTGTAATAGGTAATTCTGGTGGTCGGTGCGTCTCTTACGTCGCAATTGACACGGTTTGCATTGAGGACATTTTAGAGAGGGCGTCGGTTAACGGATTGTGGGAAGATCCGCCATGGAAATGGTTGTTATCTGCATCCGTTTAGTTTAGCAAGGTACGTCTCTTTTTGTTTAAAACGTGTACTGCTCCTTGGAACGTCATGCCCTTGTGGTGCATCGATTCCTGTGGTGTCTGTTTTTACGAAAGGAAATCCTACTCTGGTTGTGCCAAGTTGACACCTATGTTTATTTCTTTTCAGATGCTGTGATGGATGCAGCACAAGTGGCAAGCCGTAAGTACCTTTTATCATGACACCTGGTATGTACAGCCCTCTCAATCAGGCAGATAGCCACGCCATATGGGTGGATCTTGTTATCAGTGCTGCATGGTCATTGACAGCTGATGTGTGTCAAGCTCCAAACCAAGTTAACAGTTGGAGCTTTTGTGATAAGATTATTCATATTGCGGAAGAAAAGAAATTGCTTTTACTTACCAATTTCAGTCATAAAGGGTGTTATCAGGCCACTGAGCATTTCAGGGCAATATTTGTATGCATGTTCAAGTTAAGTTCAAGAATGAAGGTTTTGAGTGAGGGAACCATGATTGTCAGAGCAGGGTATTACGGTAGTATTTATTGAACAGTCATTTGTTGGTGAGACTTATAGTCATTCATTTCCTCTTGAAGAGTGTACTGATCTTGAAAGTATTTCTTGGACAGTCATTTGTTGGTGGGACATATGATCTGCAGCATTCACTGAAGAATGCACTGATCTTGAAAAGGTTCAAAATGGACACTGCAATTTCTAATGCATGCATATGTCAAAGGTATAACTGTCAAGTTGTTCATATCTGATGGTCTTCAACACAGTTTACTAATATAAGCCATCAATTGACCCGTGTTGGAAATTCCATAAAATTTCCCGTTACCAGGGTGCAAATTTTTAATTATACCCTGCACAGCATTATTTGGGAGCTGATCGAGTTGTATCCCAATTAATGTTTTGCAGGGTACAGTGATATAACAAAACAATGACACATGATCATGTTAACTGAGCAGAAGAAATATGATGTCTAGAGCAGTCTTTTCCAGCTACAAGTACACTTCTATCATCACATTTGATGCCTCGACATCTTTAAATGTGGAAAGTTTCTTTTAACCAGCTCCTCCTATTACATTGAAGAATGGGCCGCTTCAGCATAGCAACTTAGCTAGTTTATCTTATTTAGTTCCAAAAGCAATTGTGAATGGCATAGATGTCAGTACACTTCAGCGTACTTGGGTTACCCAGGTCACTTCAAACTGTGAATCAATGAAATAGATTTTTCCAGCAGATGCAATGGACCACTGCAGGTTGACAATGTACAGCATGTAAGTAATTGGCATTGCATATGGAACTTTTGCATGAATTAGGTCTTTGGGAAAAAGCCATCTTTATCTTGTTGATTTATCTTCCCATTTTTTACATGTAAAAATTGGATTGTGGGTGTCCTCAAGGTTAAAATAGGTCACATGTTACCAGTTCTCAAAGCCATGATGAGGCATGCCTGAATGCTTATCAAAATGGCCAAATCTTGCATGAAGCCACTGCAAGACCAGTTTTGTATAGTTTGTTACCTTACAGTGGTGTACTTCTGCAGTTAAGCTGCAATTGACAGGTCTCCAAGACAGTCTTGGAAATAAAAAAACCCTGCTGGCAGAGTACAAATTTTCTATAGTGGAGTACAAAGTTATCCAAGTGCTGCAGGTCATTACAGTTTTGTTTATTTTATCTTTGAGAGATAATGGTACAATGGGTGGTATTCAAAAAAGTGCCAATTTTCATATGCAGCAATGCATGTAAAAGCACTTGAAATGAAAGGAAACATCAGTATCAAATATGACACACTGAAAAAACACAGTGCCATACTCTGCTGTGTATACATCCTCCAAAACAGTTGGTAATCATGCATCAGGCTTATACACTCGAAAATGGCGGGTGACTACACACCGGACGTGTACACCCTCCAAAATGGAGGGTGGGTAGGATACGCGCAGTCAGAGAAAAAATTGTACACAAAAATGCAAATGAACATGCCACAGACGGCCACCTACCCATGCCCCACCACGATCACGCTACTGACGCTCCATCACGGTAACGCTACTCACGCTCCACTAGCTAACTGGTTTTTAAAACAGCTAAGCATTCATGCACTCCACCTTTCCACTCCTGGGCAACACACGAGGCCCTGCACGTCCCACCTGAATGATAGAGACAGGCAGCACCTTAACCGATATACCGAGCCAGCGCAAGTACAATGCCGTGCAGGCCGGCCAAAAGCGATCGGAGTCAGTCATTCCGCTGACTCCGGCGGATAATGCAATGTATGAATGGATTTTGATGCGCTTTAACTGATATCATTGCAAAATATGATAATTCATGTTGCAATTGACTGACGTTTTTGTACTAATAAACCCTTCTCCTTCATTTGCTGGGCCAAAGTTATGTGTTCATGTTACTCGGGTGTCCTGGTGTTCTTGCTGGAGTTAGATGGCTGTCTCCGAACAGTTTTTGGCTATCTATAACAACGTTTTTCGACTTAAAAGGATGTTCTTGTACAACCTGAATTACCAGCTTTAATTTCACACCCTTAAGTAACAAATTTAACTTGGTTTAATTCCACAGCTGCCGTAACATTTTTGTGCTCCGGATACCAGGAATTGGCCAAACATCCAACCATGTGGCGGTTCTGGATGAGTACAAATAAGTCTTTCTTCATAATTGTGATGCCTTTCTCTATACAGCTCCCTCTAAATGTTTACAAATCTGTTCAAGGCATGAGCGCGAGCAGAATATCTATGCTCTTGACAAATCAGGCACGAGGAGGTGGATCATTGAAACTGATTGGAGAGTTTTGCTATGTTCAACCTCCAACCTGAGCTGGGAGGCGGGCGCAAGCCGCTGAATAGTTGAAACGTTTCCGACGCTGAATTGCGAGTGATTCTCTTATTTGCATTGCCATGACACAGTGATGTTGCGTGATTAGGTGGCCGTCTGTGGTAGGTGATTGGGCGTGTGGTTTTCTATGACTGTTCGTTACATCCTTGGCAATTAATGCGGTTCGTCGTCAATGACAGGTAAAGTCGTGTTCAAGTTTGAGTTGGTCTGCAAACATGGAAGGTGAGAGCTTTGCTAATCTACAGACCGGTGCGATTCTGGTGCTTCTCTCTCATTTCCCGGTTTTGTTCAAAGGTGATTGCATTCAACATTTGCACGCTTTATTTTTCACATTTCCATACATGGTTTATCAGATGCGTTGGTGGCAACACAGGCTGCTTGCTATTGGGCACCGTAGTCTGGTGGGTGCAATATTTGTGCTCTTGCAGATATCAATTCATGGCTCCTGATGGAAGCAGCAAGTCTCAAGCTGTTGCACCTTCTGGTTTTATTTTGTCCGGACACAGATAGGTAAAATGATTTTTCCAAAAGCTGTTTTTGTTACATCATAATGGAGTACAAAATATTTCATTTTGCTTAGTCACAATCCTGCAGTACAAAATATCCTGATATGCATTGTACCCGGGAACGTCAACTTTTTCAACTCTGCTCCAAGATCAAGCTTTGTCACTGAACTTTTAAAAGTGCATGATACCACATTCCTTATGGTTTAACTGCCCTTTCTTAAAAACAACTTGGTGGGATTCATGGTATAGTGCAGTGCCAGTACAGTCTTGTCATCAGAGTGTGCATTGTGCAGTATTATTTCTGCCATTTCACGCCTGATGATATGGAACGGTGCATGTTTGCTCAACCTCCACTCACTTTGTTTGGTACTTGCATTGAAAAAGTTACCAGTCCAACAAAGTTGTGCATGTTGCAGTTGCCAGCTAAAATGAGCAAAAATTTTAGTTTGCAAAAGTAGTCAACCCCAACATGAGCCGAGTTATTGGCGGTGGGGCATGGCCATCACCAGAACATAGAGGAAATTTGCAATGCGTGGTCAGACACAATGTCTGTTCTGGTACGATCAAGGAGTTTGCATGCAAACTGTTTCACCAGGCATGTCTTAGGTGCAATATTGCAAAACAAACCTGATAAGTTTGCATTTCATTTGATTTGCTTGAGCCCAATTTGCATTAAATGTGCTTTTAAAAGGCCAAAGTTGAAAGCATTCAAAGTGCTCCACAACGCCACTCAACACGAGCTCAGACCGTGGTGTTGACAACGTTTAACCCCAACAGCACACAGTCAACATATTATGATCTAAAGAGACACGGCCAGCGTATTAGCGCACATGTCCGCCACTGCATCCAGCAGGCCACGCGCGCTGGAGTGCCCTTGGATCAACAGGCTTTCTGCTTCGTGTAGGATTGATGTCAAATCTCGGCAAGCAGCACAGGTGGTGGCCTGCACCTGCCTGCACAGTGGAGGCTGGTGCATCGTCAATAGATTTAGCGAGCACGGGACTTCCCATTCCAAGGAACGTCAATCATCGAATGGGGGCGACCAGTATCGGTACAAAAACGGCTCCGAGCGTGACGCCCTGGTGACTTACGCCGGAGTGGGGGAACATTGAAAACCGCTCAGGCATGGGATTCAATGGGCAGTGATGACTGTCTTCTCTATATAGTTGCTGCTTGACATTATTTGTATAGTTATGAACACAGGCGTGACGATTGCAGAACACGTAAATCGATCAAAATCCATCGACTCCGATCGATTTATCAATGTGGTGCGCCAAAATGGTTGCCCGGTGAGGGAAGACTTATTCTTTAAGTCTAAGATGTTACAGTGCTTGCACAATATAACAGATGGTAGGTATTAAAACGAAATTGAGATGACCTCTTGACAATAATGATGCACGTGATCTTCGTTAGGTAAGTTGCATTCTTAATTTTCGGTCACCGACCTTTCTTACAGAATCGAAAAGTTCAAATATGAGGCGGACATCAGACGCTAGTCGGTGTTGACAGCGGGCTGTTACCCAGCATACGCGTGATCAAATAACAAATCATGCGTACAATTATTGTAAGGACACTTTGATTCCCTGTTGGGCGAAACATATTCTGATTTAATAGGATTTGAATAATTCGTGTATCGGATGATGCATCGATTTGTCATCTTCGTTTCTTCCTGTCGATTTCTTGAACTGACTGTATTGTCATTTCTTGCAGAAAGAAAATATAGGCTCAAGGAAGCATTCTACGATGTCCTGGCTGAGGTTGGAGCGCAAAGGGAGAAACCATATGAGTGGAAAGATGTAAGTATTCCATGATCAGTTTCGTGCGTCTGATATTTTCAAGAGTCCGGGGATTAGCATATCCATAGCAGCAATAGGGCACGCATCCTGTTCAACCGAAACAAGTGAGGCATTAAAGCCCATGTCTCAGTTGATGCTTTGTGTGCACACTAGGTCGATTACGGACATGCCGTGGTACATTCCAAGCTGTCAACTAGACGAAGACCACGGTCAGTTGTATTTCCCCAGCACCCATACTGGCGTGCAAAGGGAGCATCACGGCGCCGGCACGCGGCCGGGGTGTGTCGGCGGGGTGCCGAACCGGGGCGAGCCGTGTACTGGCCGCTGGGTGGGCCGGCCCCAGTGACGCCGCGCGCGCGTCCGCAGGTCATCATGCTGTTTATCCGGTACCTGGCGCTGCGGCGGCCGAGCCTGCTGGACCCGCAGGACCGGAGCCGCGTCATCTGCGAGGGCGATCCGCTCGGCCGGGTGTTCGGTGTGCCCCACTTCACTAAGGACGAAACTAAGTATGGGAGCCGCGCCGCCGCCGCCCCACGTCAGTGCATTCGGACTGGTGCTCGCCGGCCGGCGGCCCGCCACGACTCGACGCGGCTCGGCGGCGTCACGGCTTTGGACCCCTGCCCTCCCCCCCCCGCCCCGACGCCCCAGCTGCTCACTGCCGGCCCCACGCTGTAGAGGTCGGCCAAGTAGTCGTGACTGCGGTGATGTCGCGTTCATTTGGATGGTTCAGCAACGTGGGCTCGCAACCGACGTGATCAGTGTTTCTGGCCGCATGCTGAAGAACTGTCTTGGTTCGGGTATCGATTTTGCTGTCAGCGCTTTGTGTGGCTCCTCCAGTGTGCGGAAAACTATTACCGTTGCGTTGCGTTCCGTTGCGTGTGATGCGGGCCCGGCCCCCTCCCGCCTCCCCGTGAGGGGGTCCAGAGTCGTGACGGCCGACGGCTGCACGGGCGAGCCGCGCGACGCCCTGCCAAATTGATCCGGACAGGACCGATTTCCGAGTATCCGGAATTCGTGATCCGTCGATCAGGAGGCGGGAGCGCCCGACTGGACTCGTCACTGAAGGCGGGCGTTCTGCCGGGACGGCTCCTGACCTGGACACGGGCGCCGACCACCGGGCGCGGCTGGCGCAGCTGACCGGGGCGCAGTCCGAATGCACGGCGGGCGGCTTCACCTCTGTGGGGTGTTGTGAGAGGGAGGAGCGGGCTGGCCTGTGTGTGGTGGGGTGGGAGCGGGGAGCGGGCTGGTCTGAGAGGTGGGGTGAGGTGGGAGGGAAGGGCGGGCTGGCCTGTGTGTGGCTGGGTGGGAGCGGGGAGCGGGCTGGTCTATGAGAGGTGGGGTGAGGTGGGAGGGAAGGGCGGGCTGCCGGCCTCAGCGCCACCAACGGCCATCGAGGGAGGAGCGGGCTGTCTGTGAGCGGTGGGGTGGGAGCGGGGGGCGGGCTGGTCTGTGAGCGGTGGGGTGAGGTGGGAGGGAAGGGCGGGCTGCCGGCCTCAGCGCCACCGACGCCCGCAGGATGGCGGCGCCCCATACAGGCGGCGCGCGGATTATTCAGCCTTGCCCAGCCGGGTGATGTTCTAAGTCGGGGGGCTCCAGGACAGATCGGCCGGGTTGGCTCGTGTCGCGGCTTGCCCGGCCCTTGGACCGGTGCGGACGCGACGGGCTGCACTCAGTGCGGAATGGCAGCTGGCGGGAGTGCTGGGCTGGCCGGAAGCCTGACGCGTTACCTGTGTGGAGAGCATGCGAGGGTTCGCCGCCCCATACCTCAGTTGGTGAGGGCGCGTGCCTCCTAGCCCAGCCGAGGTGGACTGGGGCTCCCAGCCGCTGAGGGCGGAGAATGACGAAAGGAGTCGTCGTTTCCCCGAACCGTAATTGTCATCACCGCGCCAGCCGTCACACGCTCTCGCTGCCTGCCGCTGACTGGGGTGACTTGTGGCCGGTGGCAGCGGCCGCTCAAGGTCAGATGAGGTCCGGGTGCTGGGCGGACCATGCCGAGCATTGTGGCGCCTTAAACTTTCGTGCGAATTTTTTTCATTGGACTGCAATGCCGCAATTGAATGGTGCTTTCAGAGTTCACATAACGAGCGCTGCTGAGCGTGAAATCCGGTATTTATATAAATCCATCGAATGAAAAAGGCTCACACTAAATATGCAAGTAGCCAGGCGATCAGAAAACGGCTGAATATTTGACTGGTCATATAAGAAACTGATTTTTGTTTCTGGTAGTATTTGCATGATAGCTTTAACGTTAGTTGTACCAACGAACAGCACCTGGGTGGTTGAAGGGTTGCCTCCATTGGTGAGGCACAGCTGCGTGTACTGAAGTTTTCTCGGAAACGGTCCGGCGCTCCCATTCTGCGCGCACTGAAGAGCACGCCTGTCTTCCGTGTAAAAGAATCTGTTTATAACCCATAACATATATGGGGCAGCGGCAGTCGGGTTAAAACGCCCCGTGAGGCATTGTTAGACGACTTGATAAGATGGATCACGTTAAAGAGACACTTTAAGGACGCCATTGTTGGAAAGGTGAAGGAGTGGGTTTCCAATAAAATGTAGTATATATATATATATATATATATATATATATATATATATATATAGATGTATGATAAGAGTACAAATACTCCGGGTTACACGGTACAGTAAATCATTAATCCATTTGAAGAAATATTTGCCCCCGGCTTGCACACTGATGGTCATCAGATGGAAGTGCGGCTCTTTCGTTGTTCGGTTATCACGTCCCGCAAGAACACTCACTCACGTGAGCTGGATGCACTCTAAAATAATTCAAACATCGACCGGTGTCGAATGACGCCCTTGTGTCGAATGATGCCCCTGGGCACCAGCCACGGTCTGAAGCTCGGCATGTCAGCGATGAGCCACCCACGGATGTGTCCTGGAGCCGTCCCAAGTCAAACGCTGCATATCAAAACGTGCAGCCCGGATATAGTCGGCTGTCCGCTTTGTCGTTTTCTTAATATCTGTTCGCGTTTTGTGGGAGTGTTTCATAAACATTGCGTGCCAAGGGAGTTTCGTAGATGTCATTGGTGAAAACCCGTATAAGCCGTCCTAACGTACACTCGACAGAGCCGCCGTCTCTTGGCTGATAAACTGATAATGGGAGATAGGTGGCTCGAGCGGTGTGTCGTGACATGGCGGATATGTATCAAGAAACGGACACCAAACGCCGTCCGAGTCGAGCACCTGGCTTAGAGACACCGAGCGTGCCTCGGTGCCAGGTGTTCGCCAGGTCTTGGTGCGTCGTGCCCCCTCCCCTCGCCCCCCTCCCCCGACTCAGGAAACGCTCCGAGCGGACAGTCGGCTTCGAGGCATGGTCTGGCGCGGCACGAGGAGACCGGGACACTCTTTCGCCCCGGGCACGCCACTGACAGTAGCTGACTCAGGACGACCAGGTGACAGTCGCTCTCCGCACTGCTGGAGCACCGAAACGGAATGGCCGAGGCAGAGAGCGCGCGCCAGCTTTGTAGGGTGTTATATACTTTGGCCAAGTTGAGAGAACTCAACCAGCGTTTGCCATGATCAATTGCTTATTCAGCCCCTGGCCTGGAGAGTGTGTGAAATTACGGGGTTGTGCGGCGGTGGAGCGGCCCGTGTCGTCTTATGTCAGGAGATCCGACAGGCTCCCGTGCTGTTCAGTCAGAGCGATGCTGCTCTGGCATGAAGCGGCCGCTCAGCCCAGCATCGGTGACATGTCTGCAGCTAACGGGCCCATAGGCCGGAATAAAATCGAAACCATTTGCAAGTCATCTTCAAACATTTCGGCTCGGCGGAGAAACTTGTAGAAAGCAACCGAAGGCAAAGCTGATTAGCAAACCGCCAAGTCACACCGCGATACTTGAAAAGATAGTATTTTGTGTTACTTTTTTACCGCGTTAGACGGACTGCTCATGAAGAACTATCCCAGATACCTAGCACATTTTCGAGTAGTGTCGTTTCACGCTTGGCGTCACACGTGTACCCGTTTTGGGAAGGCTTATCAATCGATCAATCAATCAAACAATCAATCCACCTCCAATGTGTGCAGTGACGTTTGCCGGTAATTACTTATTTTGGTACGTGCGAATTGCAGATGACCCAGATTTGATCCATCTAATCTGTCAGTCCGTGTAAAGGCACCGAAGTTTTGCCCGGTGGTTGGATCGAACGCGGAGAAATTGTGCTTGCCCCTTTCACATCGCCCTCTTTCGCGTGCGCTGCGCAGTGAACAAGACGCGCGCTTGCGCTTGTGGGTGCCCTTAACGAGGGACAGTGGCTCTTTTGCCCGGTTGAGGAAGTGCGTTGCGTAGCGATTGCACTCGGCGTTTAAATGGTCATTTGACCGTGGGGCATTCTTGTTGATGCGTGTAATGTGTGCATGTGTGTGTCGCAAGACATGGGTAAGTTCCTTGCGATAAACAAAGTTATTTTGAATGTCAGAAGTGCTCATTTCATTATTTATTTAATTTTGGTGTTTGGCTAATAACAGGACTTCCAGTCTTTGCCCACTTGAAATCAGGTCTTCCAGCAGATGTTGACCCGCTTCCTGTCGAGCTGACGTCATCAGTGGCTGTGGCGCGCCGGCAACGCTTTTTTTGGTGGGGCCTGCTTCACACCGCCAAGGCCGTGAACCCAGCGCCCTTTGGACACAGCGATTCCGCGCCACGCACCGTAGCGCGTGGCGCTGCCGTCGGCCGCCGGTGCTGCCCTCTTTGACGGTGCCGGTTCGACTCGGCAGGTCCTTGGTGCGGCAGCACCTGTCGCCGGTGGATGAGGAGCGGCCGGCTCCGGCCGCCGCCGCCGCCGCCGCCGCCGCTGCTGCCGCCGCTGCCGATGTCAGCAAGCGCGGTGCAGCCGACGAGCCAGTCGCCGACGGCCCAGACAGGAAGCGTAGCTGTCCGGAGGAGCGGACGGCCGAGCCGGCCGCACCCGGCCCCTCCGGCCTGGCGGCGGGCGCAGCCGGCCTCTCCGGCCTGGCGGCGGCCGTGCCCGGCCCCTCCGGCCTGACGGCCGACGCACCCCGTCCGCCCGGACGCCCCGGACTGCTAGGTGAGGAGAGACAGCCACGGGAACGGTGCGCCGGCGTCCCCCTCCCCTCGGCGGCGCTTGGGACAAGCTAGTGTCGTCGTCAGCAGGCCGTGCGAGACGGGCGTCCAGTCTCCGCCGGCGGGCCGGTGGAGCTGGTGGCGGCACAGACCCGGACTCCCGATATACCGGGCCCCGGAGGGGTTGGCGAGCGGACGCGCACGGGAGAGCCGATCGATGTGGACGCACTCGCTCCATGAGGTGTTGGTTTGTTGTACCGTCCTGGTCCAGATGCCAGCTTCCACTTGACGGTACTCTTGTGTGTTAAGGAGAGGCTATTTGTTGCCGTTCTCCATGGAACTCGGACTCGCACAGCATTCTTCTGTGTTGCACGCATTACGTTGTGCTCGCTCCGCTTGAACCCTCGTTTTTTGTTGTTTTTTTTAGTTGAACGATGTTATGTTGAGTAAGCGTCGTTCATTATACCAGGAGTTGCTGGTTAATGGTAACATCATATTGACCGTTCTCAATGTTTCGATTTGTGTGCGCTCGTCCTCATTATACAGAAGGCAGCTAACTCAACATTAAAAATTCAGAAGTTGCAAGTGCACTTGCGAGAATCACAATGCATATAGATAGACAGTAGTAGTAACAGCTTTATTCTCGTAGAAAGACCAGGAGAGTGGAGATATGGATGCGTTGATATTTCGACAAGATGCCTTTATGGAAACGAATAGTAGTAGCGAATTGAAAATTTGCCTGCCAGTGATCCTACTCGATTTTTTAGTTTCTTTTTTTTAAATTGCGAGCCACAGTTTTAACAGGTCACCAACATTCAGGGGATTAAACAAGGAGCAATCACCAGCCATTACTACGATACGGTGCATATCTAAGAATGAGAATACGCAAAAAATACGTTTACATGCAAACGAATTCAAGTAAGCGGGCATCACGCATCACGCTTCAGTCAACCATGCAAGCGATTCCCAGTAAACAGGCGTCGCGCATCAATTATACATGTAAACGGTTTCAGTTGAACAGGCATCGCGCATCACGCTTCAGTTGTCCCGTGTACATGCCTGTTCCACGCACGCCTGTTGCCCGTTTAACTGAAATCGTCTGCATGCGTGATTGATGCGTGATGTGATGCCTGTTCACTCGAAATCGCTTGCATGTGTGAATTAAGCGTGATGCGTGATACCTGTTTACTTGAATTCGTTTACATGCACACATATTTTTTCGCTTGTTCTTATTCTTAGTTGGACATGCACTGTTTCGTAGTAATGGCTGGTAATTGCTCCTTGTTTAATCCCCTGAATGTTGGTGACCTGCAAAAACTGATTTTCTGTTAAAAAAACGACTGAAAATTCGAGTAGCATCATCGGCAGGCAATTTTCAATTTCTTACTGCTATTCGTTTTGATAAAGGCATGTTGCCGAAATATCAACATATCTATATCTCCATTCTCTTGGTGTTTCTACGAGGAATAAGGCTATTACCACCGTCTCATGTATAAGAAATTTCAACTGGTGCCGAAATGCCGAATGAATGCGGAAAAACCAGGAGCTGAATGCCTTTCTTTCTTATGTGAGGTACCTCGGGCGTTCGTTTGCGTTTTGGCGTACGTTGCAGCCTGCTGTCGTTTCGCTTGTGAGCCAGTGATATGTGCTGTCAACAGATGTCGTTTGGTGATCGTGCTCTCTCTTTGTGCACACATTGATCATTACGCAGTGAACGCGTAAATAATTCGTGGCGTGATCGAGCACCTATATACAAGTTGTTATTCCCTGCGGATTTTGGCAGCGAATCTGTTTGTCCACACACGTGCGCCTAACCCAGCTGTGATCTTGTCTCGGTGCTCGTTTAGATGTTGGCCGATGAACATTGTGCTAGTCCGCTACGTCCCCGACAACTAGTCCGTTGACTTGCGCGAACACGGCAAACTGTGGCCTACCCGGCTATATGCGTCATTGATGCCCGCTTCTTGGCCTGATGTGGAATGGAGCCAGCGCCGTCCGATGTAAGCTGTACGCCATACCGCTGAGCCGCGCTTACCGGAATGGCGTCGCGCGGGCGGGATGGGGGCCCAGCGCGCCCCAGACACGGCCAGGCTGTCCCTGGGCCGCCGGCGAGTGCGGCTGCCGGCCCCCGAGCTGGCCCGTGTCCAGCACACATTGTGCTCGGTGCTCCACCGCGTCTGTCGCGTGCCGCCCGCTAGGGCCCGCGCGCGGCGTCGGTCGTGTTGGCAGGTGCGCACGCCTTCGTGCTGTGTCCTTATATGTCTGTGTGTGTGCGCGTGTCTGCTTCAGTATGCCTGACTGTGAGTGTCGCAGGTCTGCCCCTGTGTGTGCGTGTGTGCGTGTGTGTGTGCGTGTCTTTCAGTATGCCTGACGGTGAGGATCGGAGGAGGTCTGCCCCTGTGAGTGCTCGCGCTGACTGGCGCCGGACGCCTGCGATGGTGTAGGGACAGGCGGCGGGGCGGCCGCGGCCGAAGAGCCGGTCGAATCCGGTGACGACACGGACGACCACCGTCGGACGTACGCCCGCGAGATGGAGCCCGTCGACTGCTCGGACGTCGGTGACGCGGACAGCTCGGGGGTATGTTTGGCGTCGCCGCTCTGGTCGCGCGCTGGTGCGCTTGTGCTGTGGATGTGACGCCCCAGCCTGCAGCCTGCAGCCCTGCGCTGGCACTGCGCCCCACGTCTGGTCGGGCCGTCCTCTGAGCGGCGCTGAGATGTTTTCTTTCGGTATTGGTGTAGAGTGTAGGTCCAGCTGTCGTGGCTTTTCGTAGAGGTATGGCCGCTCGTGGTTTGGTTTATTTCCCACGGGGATGGGCACCTCGGCACTGGTCTTGGTCACGCTGCTTCCCGGTGCCTGTCACCCTGCTGGTTGCTGGCCCTGCCTGATGGACCTGGTGTGGGGCGCGGTGGGGATGCCAGTAACTCATCAATTGCTCATGTGGGACGTCCGCGTTGGTTTCCTTTTGATGTCCGAACGAGAGCACTGCTCTTTCCTCCTCTTGACTGTCCCCAGGACTGCCGTGTGCCATTCTTTGCCTCCACTGCCATGCTGGTTTTCCATTGGTGTGGGATGGTTGTTGCACTCCTCACAGGACACGCCAGTCGTAAGAGCAGTGCTTTGTCTCCCGCCGACCGCTCGTGTCGTCACAAATCCCGTGCAAAACATTTATGCTTAGCCATTTCGCAGCAGGCTGAAGTGACGTTTTGCTTGCTCTCGTCATCCTCTTGGACTTAACATAGCACGCGACTGGCCATTGCGTCCTCACCTCGTCGTGGCTCACCTGTGGTGTAGGCGCCGTTACACTCTCGGGCTTCATCCATCGCATTTTGTCGCGCTTTGGAAGTTCCTGTTTGCACTCAACCGCTCTGCAAAGCGTGCATGCTGGTGTAAAGGAGCGCACGTTGCGAAACCTCGCCTCTCAGGGCAGCATGTGGACGGTGCTGTTCTTTGCCTCCTTTGTTGTATTTCCGGCGTCATTCGGCTCACATATCCTTTGCATCCACCATTGAAAATCAACGCCCCCAGCCCAGTATCACTGAGGGATCTCCTTCTCCACTGGCTTAGCTCGCTTTCAAGCCGAGTTAAGCCGCTCTGAGCATGCGGAAGCGACAGGCTAAACAGTCTGTGCCGTCTTGCTTTCTGTGTGTAAATTGGAGGGCAAGCTACTGGTGATGAGAACTGGCAGAAACTGTTAAACGGAATACGTCAAAACGTGCAGTAAGCCAACCGGTGGAGTGGAATGGAACGGCAGGGTAGACACACATAAAATATGTGTTGGCAGCGCTAGTGAAGGCATGGGGCTTTAGCTGACAATGCTGTTGTAAGAAAAGATCGACTGGGTGACGACAGTTTGGAGCGGCCAGAAATTGTAGGAAGGCTGCATTGATGCAAAAACTGGTTACTGTTTAATCAATCAAGTGGATTGATTGAAAGTTTCCTTCGTCCTGTGCTGCCATCTGATCTTACTCTTAGCAGGGCTGGCATGCCAACCCTAGGCAGTCGGGACCAGCCAGCTCAAGCAGTTATCCCAGCAGGCTCTCACCCAAACGGGCCATAGCAAGGCGGCGGGAGCTACCAGAAAAAGCTAGCCGTAGTGTTAATTTACGTATTTACCAATTGATTACGTAAAACAATGTACATCGCTGCAAATTCGGTGCAGTTCTTTGTTTAGCGTGTAGGATAGCTACATGGTGAGGGTTATTATCGCGAATGGATTAATTGTTCAAACTACCGTCCTCGTCCGCTGTGTTAGTGCGTGCACAGCGCTTCGGCCAGTGAACTCCCCGGCCGTTAGGCGACTGAAATCTGAGCCGACCGCGCTGTCGGCATGTGGTCAGCATCAGAGCCTGAGCTGGCTGCACTGTCGGCCTGTGGCCAGCATCAGAGCCTGAGCCGGCCGCACTGTCGGCATGTGGTCCGCATCAGCGCCTGAGCCCACCGCGCTGTCAGCATGTGGTCAGCATCAGAGCCTGAGCCGGCCGCGCCGTCGGCCTTTGGCCAGCATCAGCGCCTGAGCCGACCACGCTGTCGGCATGTGGTCAGCATCAGAGCCTGAGCCGACTGCGCTGTCAGCATGTGGTCAGCATCAGAGCCTGAGCCGGCCGCGCCGTCGGCCTTTGGCCAGCATCAGCGCCTGAGCCGACCGCGCTGTCGGCATGTGGTCAGTATCAGAGCCGAGCCGACCGGAAAATGGACCCGGACTTCAGCTGCCCGTGTCAGCGGAACAATTGAGTCCTGAGAAGGACTGGATAATGTTTGGCCCTCAGCCATGTACGCATTTCAACCCGAATCCGCCATTTGGCATTGCTGGAATTCGAACCGGGGTCTTCTGATCACGAATTCATTGATCTACCAGTTGAGCTTACTGGGAAGGACTCAGATGGTAGAGCACTAGACTCGCGATCGGCAGATCCTGGTTCGAATGCCAGCAATGCCAAGGAGGGCATTCAGGCTGTGACACATACATGGCTGGAGGACAAACATCATGCAGCCCCTCTCGAAAATCAGTAGTGCCTGATGACGGCCCGAGAGTTGATTGAACAAAACGTGGTGTGCGTACTAACATACCAAACGAGGATGATGGTCCGAACAATTCGTCAAGCCACAACACTAGTACCTGGTCTCAATCCTGTCGTGCAGCTGTAAGGAATATCATAGTGTCACCAACTGATTGTTGGCAATTGCATAGAAGCGAGTATGTAGTAGCGAGTATGGCAATCGCATAGGAGCGATTTGGTAAAACGCATGCTGCAGAATAGCAGCTTTTGGCTGGCTTAAAACCGGCGGAAGCTGTCAGAAACCCATCAATCTATTTTGCTCGTTTTGCCAATTGTCTCATCAAAATGAAGTTATACAGCTCTCTTTCCTGTCAAACGACTAGCAGCAGTGTACCAGGTGCTGGCTCCGGCTACCAGGTCCGGACAGCTGCGTTCCCCACCTGGTTGAGGAAGCATCTATTCTGCTATTCTGTTGTTGTTCAATGGTGTTTTCGGGCAGTCGATGCGCTCGAAAACACCATTGAACAACAGCAGAATAGCAGAATAGATGTTTCCTCAACCAGGTGGGAGAACGCAGCTGTCCGGACCTGGTACCCGGAGCCAGCAGCCAGTACACTGCTGCTAGTTGTTTGACAGGAAAGAGAGCTGTATAACTTAATTTTGATGAGGCAATTGGAAAAACGAGCAAAAAAGATTCATGGGTTTCTGACAGCTTCTGCCGGTTTTAACCAGTAAAAAAAAACTGGGTGGAATGTAGCTTCAGTCAGTTAAAACGCCAGCCCTGCCTGTGGCTTTCCTGTGCTGGCTTTACACCTGGAGCGCCGGGCGTGCGCGGCTGTGCCGAGCCAGGCCGGCTGCGGTGACTGATGCGCGGACTGGGCCCGGCCTGGAGCCGGGCTGCTGTCGTACCGCCCCATTCCGCGGACCTGTGGTGGTGCCCCACTGCTGGTCGGCCGCTGCCGAGGCCTGCCGGTGCGGGGCTGCGCTGTGCCTCTCGGCTGACCGCCCGGCCCGGTGACGGGCTGTGCTGTGGACGGTGGTGGTGGAGGGGCCCGTAGTCCGTTGTGCCTTCCGATGGCTTCCAGAGTCCGGGGAGCCTGCTGGCTGTGTCTGTGTGTGACAGCGCCGCCACGGCGAGCTCGGCAGCCGGCCGACCCTCTTCAGCCCAGCTCCCCAGCGGAGTCCCGCGTGAGACCCTCCTGAGTGCCCTGCGCCGTCTGCCCGCTCGTCCCGCCAGACGGCGCAGGGCACTCAGGAGGGTCTCACGCGGGTCTCCGCCGGGCAGCTGAGCTGAAGGGGGTCGGCCGGCGGCCGAGCTCGCTGTGGCGCCGCCGTCTCCGGTCCGTGGCCACCTTCACAACCCACCTCTGCGCGTTGACGCACTGTTTTCCGCCTGCGCTAGCTGTGCGGACCCCGGGACGCTGTCTTCGGCTGAGGCTGCTCGGCTGACCTCCGGCCGCCGCTGGCAGCGCCACCGCTTCGCGTGATGTGACGAAGTGTCGGACGCCGGTGCGGCGAATGTGACGCAGCTAACACGCATAAGTCGCTGAGGACGTCCGGCGCCGGGGGCTGCGGCAGCCCGGTACGGGACGACGCGGCCCTCCCTGCCTGCGGGCGAGCGCGCTGCGTAACACGCGCCGTTGCGACCGGCTGCAGGCCGGCTCGAAATGCGAATTGGAGTGGCCTCGGTGGCGGGCTCCGCGCGCGCTGCAGCGCTCCGTCCTCCTCGGCCGTGCTCAGGCGAGACGCACCTCGTCCGCCGGTGTTCGCCGCTGCAGACGGCGCCTGGATGGATCGGGAGGCGGGACCTCGCGCTCTGAGAGGCTTCCGACGATGTGACCAGCACCGGTGCGCACTGCGTTCGCAAGCGTCTGGTGCACGAAAAGGCGGTACGCGGCCCGCGCTGTTGCGTTCACAGAAGGACAGCCTGACAAAGAGGAAAAGCACGCGCATTGGCAAGCCCGCGCTACTGCGCCGACAGGGTCCAATGGATGCTGAGGGAGATCACGCGCGCTGCGAAGCCTGCGCTGCTGCGTCCATGAGCACCGCTCAGCCACTGCTGGCAGGAGCCCGACCCGACGGACACCACTGTGAAAGGCCGTGTGTCGTGGTGTGTCCGCGCCGCGCGACCCCCGGCACCGTAGCGCGCGGCCGGGCGACCGGGCGGCGGCCGGCCGGGCGTCTCGGTGCCGGGTGCCGCCAGCGCCTCGGAGGCCAGCTGCGGCCGAGCCGAGCGCAGGCGACGCTGCCGCCTGCTGTGGCCGTCAGACCGTTTGTAGCGGCTCCTGACTCCGCCGTCGTCGCTCGACTGACCGTGTCCGATTAGGTGCGACCGAGCATGTGCCCATCCCCGTCTTAGCGTAGTCGTGTGCTGGCCGCTAGTGCTCCGTTGTAGTCGCCCGCAGATGGGCGTGGTAGTGTCGATGGCACTAGTGCACCGGCTCTGCCGAGCGCCGGCTGAGCGTGTGAATTTGTGTATTGTAGATATGCCTTGCCTTGTGCCGGCCTTTGACGGAGCACCCGAGCCGATGGCGTTGAGCTGCGGTCTGCCTCAGAGCTCGTCCACGCAGGGTAAGGTCTGCTCTGAGGGCTGTCGCCCGCCGCCCCCACACTGTACTCGTGCTCCCGTGCTGCCGCGCATCGGTACGCCTTGTGGTGATGTGCTGCTAGTTAAGGCATGTGATGTTGTCTATATTTAAGACAAGTGCTAAAATTAAGAAGTGCGGTCGCCATCTTCAGGGGACTGAGCGTACCGAAAAAACTGTTAGAATTTATGTACGCTGGAGCGAGCAGAAAGATCTTTTTCCCCGTCCTCAACAAATGACGAACACCGGAAACATAAGCACTTTTGCGCGGTGCGTTCCGCAGTACGTGTCCGTGCCAAAACGAAACGTTGCATGATTGTTACAGGTTAAAGGGAAAACTTCCAGCGGGAGAAATACCCCAAATGAATAAGGGAAGTAAGCCACATCTTCTAGCATATTTGACCAAAAAAGAAGGTTTTTCGGTACGCTCAATCCCCTGGAGAGATTTAAAAGATTATTGCCGCATAGTACCACTGCTACTGTGATGAGTATGTAAGAGAAGTGTGAAGTGCTGTCGCATCCATGATTGTTTGGTGTGACGGTGTGGGGCGGTGCCGTGTGTCCGATCGACGCTGATTATTGTCGCTGTTCAGTGAGGAAGGAAACCGCGTCATTGTAGGGCATCCATGACTGTTCTGCGTGACGGTGTCGTGGTGCCGTTTATCTGCCCCGTCAGAGCGGTGTTTGTGGCGTTGGTGCCACGCACCATCCGCCGTGCACGGCTGTAGACGGCGCTCTGCTGACGCCAACGCCGCGCGAGTGGAGAGGGGCGGGTCATGCTGTGCTGCGCCGTGTCGCGCTGCGCCCGTCTGGGGACCGGCGGTCCGCAGGGAGGCGCCCGGTCCCCACCCTGCCGCGCTGTCGGGCGCCGTTCGCGGCGGCCACCGCCGCCGGTACGATGCGTCCTTGGTGTCAGGCTCTGGGAACGGGACGCGCTCGGTGCCGTCAGTGGTGTGCTGCTTCGTCAGGAGGTGTTTTAGCGGTACGGGCGTGGATTTTGTCGTAACCCCGGTATTAAGGTGTGCATTGTGGGATGGATGCTGCCATAGCACCCAGTGCATACGTCCTTTGCGTTGGTCAAGAGTGACCATGTGTGTCAACGACTATAGGTGGTCATATATGACTACTTACATGTGTCCCCCTCGATGACAACGTGGGCTGTGGATGCGGCTGGAAGAGTTTTTATTGGCTCTGTTCAAACGGACGGTGCGTTAAAACGCCGTGCATTGGGTGGGTGTCGTCCAAAGTGATCGGCTACCGTGGACGTTGAGACTGAACGGTCGCATCTTTAAGTCAGTGCCCGCGGTATCCCGCGCATGCTCGCTCCTTTGGACGCGATCCGTGGTGTGATCCCCCTCCCCCATGACCTGGTCTGCACAGACTCGTGGGGAGCACGCTAGAAGGTGCGAGGAATGGTGGTGGTGGTCAGTGATGGGTCCGCTGACGATCTGACTCGGGCACAGAGGCTGGTGGCCGTTATCCTCCGCAGTCCCGACCTTCACTGTGTGTTTCCGCTTTGTCGTGTACCACAGCTGCTGTCCTGTCCCCATCGCGCCATGTGCGCGCTTTCCGCGCCCCTGGTTTCCCCAGCACCTGTTTTCGGCTCCGCAGTTGTTGTCCATAGGCTACCGTGTCGGGTTTTCCGCCTGCCCCGGTGCTGGTGTCGGCACGAGGGTTGTTCCGTTATTGGTTGCATGTCACGTGCGGAGGTTCACTACCTGTGCGATTGATGTCGGCGCAGAGCTGTTGCCCTGCGGCCGGTGCGTCACGCTCGCGCTGTCCGCTCTCCCCGCCCTTGCGAGGACCTGGGCCGACAGCTTAGCGGTCGGCCCGGGTCCTCGCACGACCGGGCCGTCGTGTCCGGCGCCTGTGGTGCCCGGTGTCTGGCGCCGCGTCTAACGCCCCCCTGCTCCGCCGTCGGCCAGCTGTCGGACGAAGACTCGCCGCTCCAGCTGACGCAAGTGACCGCCTGGTGTGACGACCTGGGCGAGGTGGCCGACCAGGACACATCCTGTTCGGACAGCGAGCCTCGCGACACCTGGGAGTGTCCTGACGACAGGTGCCGACACGCCAACAGTGCGCGCCGCTCCAAGTGCGACCGCTGCTGGACGGTGGGTGGCCGACACTTCTGGCCTCGTATGGAGGCAGGCTGAGTTCCTGGACCCGTCCTTGGGATCCAGGCACGTGCATGTTCTGGTTGGCGCCGACTCTGGCCCTGTGGCATAGAGGGCACTGTTACAAAGGGTTGCAATAGCTCGTGCCAATTGACGTTCGGAACCACCGTTAAGTACAAGGTTACGGAGATGGCCAGTACATGCCGTCGTTGTGCGCCCTTCACCTTGTGGACGGGTGATAAGCGTGGCGGCCATGGCCTCGGCGGTGATCGTGCTCGAGACCACGTGACCTGACGTGTGGCATCTCGGCGGCAGACGCGCCCTGCCTGGGTGGTGGAGCCGCGCCGGAGGAAGCGGCGCCAGCGCGACCAGCGGCGCGCCGACTCGGGCCTGGCGCGCGCCGCCAGCGCCGCGGTGGCGCCGCCGACGCCGACGCCGCCCGGCTCGGAGGGCTCGCAGGGGGAGGCCGGCTCGCCGCCGCCCGATGCCAGCTCGGCGAGCAGCTCGCAGGCGCCGGACGAGGCGGCCACGTGTCTGATCTGTTGCGAGCGGCCACGTGACGCGGCCATCATCCACGGCCGCGCCGGCTGCAAGGTCACGTGCTACAGCTGCGCGCGCCGCCTGTGGAAGCGGCGCGACCGCTGTCCGTCGTGCTGCCGGCGGATCCAGAAGATCGTCGTGATGAGGTACGGGTGACAGCGTGCCGTCGGCGGATCAGAGCGTGACAGGAGGCCTTACCTGCGCCGCCTCCTTAACTGGTCGGATGTAGCCGGGACCCGGTTATGTCTGCGTGGGTGGGGTGGGTGGGTGGATGGGGCGTTTTAGTGTTTATGCAGGCTATTTCACGTACACAGCCAAATCAATCTTGTCCTGTCCATTTCCAGAAATGAGTTGAAAGTTCTTACGTTTAGTGACGACTTTCAATATTCCGGGAAGCACAGTTTAAACGACGTTTGTGGCCCGTGAATATAATCGTTAGCATTACAACGTCGTACCCGCAATATCATCGTCATTAGCGTCACAACAGCGTTTAACCATATTTAATATATTGGAGGTCGGTAATTTAACATAAGGACTTTCAACTCATCGTTGCTGTCAGCTGACTTGTATGCAAGGTAATAGATGGGGTAAATTATTTCAACACTCGTCAATTTTCTAAAAACGGATCGCCAAAGTGAATTTTATTTCCGCTTGGGCTATGCTTAACCTGCTCTTTGCAACCAGATATGCCATGCTGTGAGCCAGTGGTCACGTGATGTAATGCTACAATGCAACAAATGTCAACTCACAATCTGTGGTGAGTTACATGGTACACGTATTCAACTTTTCTGGAAAATAAATTTTTTTTTCAGCAAATCATGAGTGTCTGTCAGACGGTATCGTTACGAAATCGTTATCCAAGGCTGGTACATAGTTTCTGGCCGCTGCAGGAGAGAGAGAGAGAGAGAGAGAGAAGAGAAGAGAGAGAGAGAGAGAGAGAGAGGAGAGAGAGAGAGAGAAGAGAGAGAGAGAGAGAGAGAGAGACAAGACAGAGACAGAGACAGAGACAGAGACAGAGACAGAGACAGAGACAGAGACAGAGACAGAGACAGAGACAGAACAGAGACAGAGACAGAGACAGAGACAGAGACAGAGACAGAGACAGAGACAGAGAGACAGACAGAGACAGAGACAGAGACAGAGACAGAGACAGAGACAGAGACAGAGACAGAGACAGAGACAGAGACAGAGACAGAGACAGAGACAGAGACAGAGACAGAGACAGAGACGAGACAGAGACAGAGACAGAGACAGAGACAGAGACAGAGACAGAGACAGAGACAGAGAACAAGACAGAGACAGGACAGAGGCAGAGACAGAGACAGAGACAGAGACAGAGACAGAGACAGAGACAGAAGACAGAGACAGAGACAGAGACAGATACATAGACATAGCAAGACGAGACAGAGACGACAGAGACGGAGACAGAGACGAAGACAGAGACAGAGACAGAGACATAGACAGAGAACAGAGACAGAGACAGAGACAGGAGACAAGACAGAGAACATAGAGAGAGAGAGATGATCATAGAGAGAGAGAGAGAGAGACAGAGAGAGAGAGAGACAGAGAAGCGGGACCGGGACGTCGGGACGTGACGGACCGGACCGGGACAGGGACAGACAGAGAGGCAGAGACCAAGAGCCGCCGTGCTGACCAAGCGGCGCAGTGTGCCAGCGAACAAAGCGTGAAAACGGGCTCACCTCACGAAACACTGACTGAGCAGAAAACTGTGCAGCCTGTCCAGAATCAGTAGTCTCTTCGCGAACAGGACGTTCTGCCACCTGATCGTCGGTGTCCATCAAATCCTTTTTTTCTTTTGTGGCTTAGTGGTCTGGCTCATGCAAGGACGACAAAGACGCCATATCTCTCACGAACAAGAATCCCTGCGCTGAACGCTGCCACCACTGACCCCATCCCTTCCAAAAACATCGCTCTGGTCCCTCCCTCCTATCGAAAGTTCTCTGCGGGGCGCCTTTCTTGCCAGTCGTTGCAAATGGCAAATATCCCCCTGGAGATGGACGTCCATTGACCTCTGCCATCTGACCCATCTCCTATCGACGAATCTTGGTTCGTGGAGCGAAGCCCGCAACCCCACCCCTTCCTTTCGCGCCGACAAGTCACGTTTTATCAGCACGCGGCCACCTTCGCACGGGAGCGGTTTGAGGATAAAGCGCGTTGAACATGGTTGAGCGGGTCGTCACACGTCTTACTCCACACGCCTTCACGCTTCACGCTTCTCCAGCCGCTATTTGTCGGCGCCAAGCGATACACTGGGGATTCGACCCCGCAGTTCAAATGCCTCTCGGTCTCGCAAGGTCGAGGTCGCGCGGCTGGTGTCGGCGCTGAGGAGGAGTGACCGTAACTTTTAGTATGAACTGTACTTGTAAATACTTTACGGGAGTGGTCCACCTTTGTATGGGGTTTTGGACTGATGAGGCCATTTTGAAGATCGTTCAATGCAGCCCACAGACATGCACCTTTTGATATTTGCAAGCCTTTTGTTTCTGGGTTTGATGCCCGTGAACTTTTGTAGACTATTTCAGGGTTACCAGCCATGCATGACACCACAGAAATGTCACGCGAATACGGCCACACCATAGACCATGTAATGCGTGCTCAAGGCCGAGAAATATATGATCATCGAACCATTCGTGCCTGACGCAGGTCAGTACAATTCGTTCCATCGACAGACATCAGTGTACTTTCAACCGATTTCACACGTTGAGTGCATGTTTCGAACACGAATCACACTTTCTGCTACGTAGTGCGGAAATTTAGGCTGTGACACGAGTATGGCGGCCATCAGACTGGGAATCGAAAAAATAAGAGTAACGCCACAGCCGAGCGTATGAATGCAAGTAAATAACATAAAAGCACGGACATATCGACACGAACACCACGAGAGAGAGTTAAACACGAGCACATACCGATATTAGAGCTCAGCAAACACGCGCCAGAAAACGACCGCAGCTCTCGGCACGTCGAAGTGCTACAAGTGGGTAAGCCTGTCTGCTATAGTGGCAATTCTGACACGGCCAGCCCGGCGGCGACTATGACGTCATAAAGTCTTTCTAAGACGTAACCAAACGATGGCGGATTGAAGAACATATTTACTAGTGAGTGAAATTTTGATGTCTAGAGCTGTCTTTAATCTTTAAAAAGAAAGAATAGCTGCAAATGAGCTTGTTTCATCGTATCTGATACCTTAATATATTGAAGTGTGGAACATTTTTCTTTCTCGCATGACATAGTTTCTGTTCGTCGCATAGCGGTACGCACCTTACTCGCCTCAGCATTCTTCAATTCAGGTGATTAGCGTCAGGTTCACGTTCTGCTAAACCATTTATGGCTCAGCTGTCGTTTTCATTTGCAATGCAGGTGTTGGCATAGCACCTAACTTTCATTTGCAATGCGGGCGTTAGTACATCATCAACCTTAACGAATAAAGTCGGCTACATTCCTTCGTCTGCTTTAATGTTGAGCTTCTGGTGAGCTACAATTTACTCCTGCTGCATTTGAGCGAGAGGGTGGACTTTGACAGGCGCTAGTTTTATGGGAGAAGCGAGTAGCTCACGTACCTAGGCGGGTGCATAGAGCCAACAGTCGACGTGTTAACGTACGTCAGTACGTCGCCAAGCAGTACGTCAGCACTATCGTATGCATGTATAGCGGCATATACCGCCCAACAGCCGTGATTTACTTACAAAATTAGTGGATAGCCGAGTGAATATGTACGGGATGCAGCTGAAACAAATATTTAAGGCACCACCTCAATAATTAGCATAGTATTGTAACGAACAGGAAAAAAGGTTGTGTTTTCACAGTGGCCACCTTTTTGTTGGTTCACTGGTACATCCCCTGGGGCCTCCTGATACAGGGAAAGAGTCTCCTGTTCCCGAAAAAGGGCTTCATGATGTATCACAGGTGCCCCCTCATCCAGAACAGGGGCCTCCTAGTTCGCAAGGGGTCCTCCTAACTCGTAGGGGCCTCCTAGTTCGTAACATGGTACCCTAGTCCGCAAAAGAGACTTAAGTTCATAACAGGGGACCGCTAGTTCATAACGGGGTCTCCTAGTCTATAATGGGGAACTCTTGTCATATTCACAGCCATATCCACCATGTCATGGGGAAGCCACCTATCATAAAGGTGGCTTCCCGAAACAGCAAAGGGCCTCCTTAACATACGATTGGGCCTCCCGATCTAGACCATCGACGACCTTATTAATCAAGGCGATCTTATGATCCAGAACACAGACCTCTTGATGCAGGACAGTGTTCTGAGCCCAACTTAGCACCCTGTAGCACAACTATAAGGGCTTCCTTGCTCTGACTTTTGATAATCCACGTGAGCAACAAAGCCTTTTTAGGCCCCTTTGGAGCAAAATGGCCTCCCGGAGTTGGTTGAGGGGGCAAAAACAGAGTTGTGCCCCCCCCCCCCCCTGCTTGCCGGCTGGGAGCAACTACCCTCTCCGCCCCATCCCCGTCCCTGTATATTTTTAAGGATGTGTATTTTCCGAATGGTTTGCAAGGATGGCTTTGGGCTTAGAGTACCTGCTAAGCAAAGCGTGGGGTGTGTATCCTGAACTCAACACCCAAGTCGTGACGCCTTTTCAACGTATAATTCTGCTTTCGTGCTTTCGTCAGACAGGAATGCGGAGCGTTTTACGTGCCACGCAATGCTGCGGCACGGCTGCCCAGACCTGGCTTGGCCTCCGTTGGCCAGTTGCCAGCAGACCTTTCCATTTCAGTCAGGTCAAGCAATGTGCTTTGGGACTCGTGCCCAGCACCGCCGGACTACTATTGCAGCATCTCTCCCCTAGACCACGGAGACGGCATTTGTCTCCCACATATGGGCGGTAAGGAAGGCGTTGATGAAGCGTAACCGAAACGTGACGGAGGGAAGGGGGCTTGAGCAGGGCAATGTGACGCTCATGTGGCCGCAAGTCATGCAAAGATTTTTTAAAAAGTTGTAAATGTCTTTGGCTTCCTCTCTTGGCAAGCGACACGGATAAATGTGGTACTGAGTTAAGTGCAGTATCTGGACTACCCCACCATAAGGCATGAGCACGTGTTCTGTCCGTCCCTGGACGCCCGGTGCGGCAGCCGGGGCTCCCCCGCGGCGCTTCGCCAGCCGCCTCACCTGAGCGACCGCTGCTGACACCTGCCGGCCACTTGAGGAGACTCGCTATTCAAACCATGGCGCCGAGAAAGGCGAACGTGCGTCGGCGCTCCTGCGGCGAATCGGCCGACAACTTCGACTACCTGCGCAGAGTGGGCGAGTGGAGGAGTGTGACGCGCAGGCGTGACAGCGTCCGCACGCTGCGGCGGGGAAAGGTAAGGCCCCTCTCAGGCGCTGCCCTCACGCTCCGTCCGCAACTTCTGTTGTCCACGGCCTGGCGTGCTCTCCTTGTGCGGACTGTCCCAGTGCAGTCTGCACGGACTGCGGCCGACTCGGCCGGAGCGTCCGTCTGCACGGGAGTGGTGCGTGAGTCATGGAGTCGGTCCGTCGACCGGCAGTCAATCGAGTCGCGTGCCGCGGGGCGGCACCACGGGGGCGCGCCCCGACCGCCCCTCCCGGGGTGATGTCAGGGGCGCGCTCAGGAATCACACAACGGAGGAGAGGTCCAGTTGTGAGGTGCAGTCTTGCCCGCCGCGTGTGCTCGCAGTGAGTACGAGGGACGGTGAGTTCAGAGGCCATGTGAGAGGCGCGTCCAGGACCAGAGCCAGCGGTGCACCCAGCCCCTGTCAGTGGCGCGTCCAGGACCGGAGCCAGCGGTGCACCCAGCCGCCGTCAGGGTGCGCCCGGAGTACGGGTCACGGAAGAGGAGAGGGGCGTCATGAGGTGGCTAGCTCCGCGTCCGCATGCAGGGCAGGCGCTTCCGTAATCCGTATCATGCGGTACGGGTCAGGAGCGGTGTATTATAGAGGCGAGGGATGTCCGACGCGTGGTGTTCGCAGTGTAATCGGAGAGTCCGAAGCCAGGGCCTGTGCCTCGGGAGTGCGGAGGCTGCAGTGACGCTGGCGCGCGTGGCGGCCTCTCTCGCGGCACGGATGGACTCTGGCTGCATTAGCTGGTGATAATCTGTCGTCTGAGAGGTCCGGGCATTAGGATTGCCCCATTTGTAGTCTCGTCTGGCGGCTTAGCCAAGGCAGACCGGGAGGGGAGGAGCCTTTAGGGCATTGCCCCCACACCATGGAGATACGTGGACCTAGAACGGAAGGCTGGCTTAGGATGAATGTGATGTTCCGTTCTGGCAAAGTGACACCTATAGGGCTTCTAAACGCTAAATTAGGGCCCGGGGTATTAAATATGCGGCGAAGAGAGCCTTGAATGGAAGTGCCCCCCTCCCCCCTCCCTATGGGAGTCAAACCAGAGACGAAAGAGAGAGAGTTGGCCCCTCGCGGCTGATATACTAGTTACGCCACTGGTGAAGTCAGTAGGACTGACGTTCCCATTTTCAAAGTGGGTTGGTTGTCTTTGAACCATGGCTGGACATTGTAGGAATTCGTCGCCCTGTCTGTATAAGATTGAACACGTTAGTTGCCCAGCTTTACCAAGGACCAAAGGTCGCCACGTCGCTAAGCCCCGCTCCAGACCACCTGCCGTTCGTCCAGGTCGTCCCGCTGCGGGGTTGGGTCCATTTTGTCCGGGGCGCCTCGCCAGCTGGCATCCATGAGTGCCGCGAGGTGGCGCTCGCTGTACAGCGTCCGTTCGTTCCCCGCGGCGGGTGGCGCGGCTTCGTCGGCGCACGTCAGTTGGCGCCCGGATGGTGCGGTGTGTTGGTGCGGGTGGTCCCGGGAGTGGAACCAGAGACGAAAGAGAGTGAGTGGCAGGGCCACGTGTGATCGGGCGGCGCCCCCTCCCTGGCTTGCGCGCCGCCCTCGCCCCGGAGCCCCGAGATCCTGTCGGCCCGCTCATGAGAGCCGTCGGAGATTTGAATCGGCGGTCGGTAGCGGCTGCCATTTGAATCGCTCGCGGGTTGGGGCCGTCGCCGCTCAGCACAGGCAGGCAGCACGCGCTCTGCAGTCTTCTCGGAGCAGCGCAGTTGGGCACCTCTCACTGGTGTTGGGAAGGTGATTGGTTGTCAGCCAACCCGAAGCAGCTTTCCTTGGCAGTGGCTTTTAAGGCCGGTAGATAAGAGATTTACCATCGGTGAGTGCATTTGCGCAGGGGGTCGGCCTCTGTTCGCGGCCCTGGTTATGCCCGAACGCCGCGTAAATCATGAGAGCAATGGCGCCGAATGCCTGTCTAGCCGCTGAAAGTCAGCTGCGGCTGTCGATTGGTGGGCCAACTGTCTTCTTCAGCTGATCAGACCGAACAGCGTTGGAGGCTGTTTTAGGGGCTTCCCATGTGGAAGTGAATGCAAGCAGTTTTTAAGTCGGGCGAGCGTTAAACTGTTGGGAGCAGTATCAGAGAACACCGCGGGGTTCATTTGATCGTTAACTTTATTGGTAACGATCACAGGAACTTGCCCGTTTTCAGAATTATGACTGAAACCAGTATGTCAGTAAAGACATTACTCAAAATTTTCTCACCGTGACGAAGCCGGCTCCAGGCCTGGCTCAACCAACTACATTTAAAGAGCCGTCAAAAGAGGATAGAATGCTGACTCATCTGGTAGCACTTCTTCGCTCGTCAAGCTCAGACATTGCCGGTGTAAATCCGCTTGGGTTATTTTTGTGTCTGCACTGTTCCGATGCAGCCGTGTGGAGGATACCGTTCAGTGGTCATCGGGCGAATTAAACGCTCCACTTTATAATAAGGCGACCGAGCAGCACCGGGCTGATTGAGCTAACCGTGGCCACACTACCAGCGTGGCACGTGGTGAGCGCGGACACAGTGTTCCGATCGCGTGCCGCCGGCGGCTGACAGCTGGCGGCCGCAGCCAGCCGGCCGCCGGCCTCCGCCCGCCCGGCCGCGGCCTGTACTGCAAGCACGGCTGACGTGCGGCGGCCGGAGACGCGATGGCAGCAGCGCTGACCGCCCCACAGCCGTCGTACGAGGAGCGTGCCGTCGCCGGCGGGGTGCTCCTGCCACAGGCGGTCCGGGGCCGCCACCCCCGCACCTCCTGAGGCGTGCCCCCCGGGCGGCCCGTCGACCCCTCGCTCCCCCTTGCCGGGATGCAGCGGCGCCGGCGGCCGGCGCGGGTCGGGCGTACAGCACGCGCGGTGTCCGGTGTCCGGTGGCGCTCCTTCCGGGCTGCGGTATCGCGGTGACGTCACGCGCCCAGCCGGCCTGGCGGCCGCCTGGAGCCGGCCGGCGGGCCGCTCCCATGCGCTCGCCCGTGGGTGGAGGACACCGCCGTCGCCCGTCCATCTTCCCACCCGAGCGCGGGCATGGGACGGCTCGAGGGCAGTGTCTCCAGTTCTGCAGCGGGCGGAGCGCAGGGCCTGCATTGTTCCGGCAGCGAGGCGCTCACCGGTGCTCGGACGTTCCCCGGGCGGTGCGGGGCCGGCACTCGGCCGCCGGCTTCTGCCAGCCGTTGCCCAGACAGTTAGACTAACTGAACGCTGAAAGGGCCGCGGGAGCGGCTTTCAGAGGCGGGGCCTGCGCCGGCCGCGTCTCCATAACGCTCGGTTGAACCGCCGCGCGGGGTCAAAGGCACAAAACCTGTTTGACAATGAATGGAAAAACCTGTGCGCCTGTTTGTCTGTGCCTTCAGACGACGAAGGCTGCCGGCTGCATTTACGCTCCTTCGTCTTGCCGCTCTGAGGCGGCGCGGGCCGTGTTTTGCTGTGCCACCGCTCGTCGCTGTTCGCAGCCTAATCCGAGCCCGGCTTCTGGCGCGGCTCTGTGCCTTCTCCGGTCGCCTGCGCTGGTCTCGTGCGCCCACCCGTCTGGCACTGCGCCCGGCCACCGAGGCTCCGCTGGCCGCGTCATCGCGTCACGCCGCGCCGGCGCCGTCCGCGCCTCGGAGTTGACCCCGGGACCATCAGGCCGTTGGCTGGACTGACATCCCGCGGACGGGCTGGATGCATCTGGCGTACCGTCAGAGTTCGCCCGGAACAATGCCAGACCTCGCGTTGCGCACCCTCAGGCAACTACCGTCCCGCGGCTGCCGGAAGCTCTCGGCTGTGACGCTGAGGCCGGCGTCCGTTAGCCGCCGCGTGTTTGGACACGTGACGGCGGTGGGCGGCCGCCCGCCGCCGGCACCTGATCGCGTCTTGGGCTCGGCTGTTGTGGCGGTTGGACGGCGGATCTCGGCCAATCAGGCGGCGATTGACGAGCGGCGGCTTTCGCTGCGCTCGTGAGACCTGCCCCACCGACCGTGGCCGCCAGCGGGCTCTCCGCCGCTGCCGTCGCCGCCGGCCCTAGCCGACCTGCGCCGCCCGCGCCGCCCGCGCCGCCCGTTTAGCCTGATTCATGAGCTGCGTTGTTTACTGGGCGGGCCGCTGTTTCAGCGCTGCGTGAGCGCGACGGTGCGGGTCGCCCGGAGAAGGAGCGCGGCTCGTCAGGGCAGGCACGTCCGCGCTCGCGCCTCGAGTCTGGGCGGGCCGGCCGTGAACGGGCCGCGAGAGAGCCGGGCGGCGCCCGTGTGGAGCGGCCAGCCGGCACGTGACCCGTTACGCCTCTCCTGGGAGCCGTCAGCGGCGCGGCCGTGAAGCGATCGTCTGGCGTGACCGGGTGGCGATGGCCCGTGGGGTTACGGGCCCCGGCAGCCAGCGTGCCTGGCGTACCTTGGGGATGGGACTGTACAGCCCTGGTGTGCAGCCGTGCTGTGCCAGCCACGCTTGGTGGCGCTGTCCAGAGCTGCAGGCAGTGTGGAGTGAGTGGGCCTGGATGCGAGGGCGGCCTCAATCTGCTCGCGACGCTGCGTCCCGCTGTTCGGAGGGTGGCTCGTGAATGCCGAGGGCGGCACCCCGTCACGCTCCGGCGCGTCCGCGGCAGCCATCTGCATGTCTGGGCTGGCGGGGCGCGCTCCAGCGGCGCCTGTGGGTGGCGCCGCCGGCCGGCCGGTGTCCGGTGTTGCGGCTCCGCTGCGGCGCGGCCGCTTTCCCAGCGTGGCTGCTGCCACTGTGTCGGACCGTGCCGAGGCCGGAGCCTGTCCGGCAGCGGCGCCGGCGGCGGGGATGGACACCGGCCGTCCCCCGGCGGCGCATCCGCTGCTGCGATCACGTGCCGCGCCCCCGCTCTGGTGTACGGTGTCGTGTCCTCATCTCCTCGTCGTGTCTCCTCCTCATCGGTGTCGTGTCCTCATCGGCACGACCGCGTCCCTTCTCAGGAGCACCCCGTCGCTCATTGGCACAACCCCGTCCCTCTTCGGCGCTGCCGCTTCCTTCCTCAGCAAAGTCTGCCTCTTCTTGGCACGACCCCGTTCCTCGGCACAGCCCCGTCCCTTCCCGGGACAGCCCCGTCTCTCGGTGCGGCCCCGTCCCTCCTCAGGATAGCCCCGTCCTTCTTCAGTACGGCCCCGTCCCTCCTAAGTACGACCCCGTCCCTCTGCACAACCCCGTCCTTTCTCGGCACGACCCCGTGGCTCCTCAGCAAGGCCCGTGCCTCCTCGGCGCGAGGGACCCGGCTCGCCGGAGGTCGTCTCGTCCGTGGCTGCTCGCCGCTGAAGACGGTGCCGCGACTGTGGGGTCTCAGTATCCATGAGGCCGACGTGGTCTCTGAGAGCGACCTCCGGCGTCGGCCGGCTCGGCCGAGCCAGTCTGTCCCGGTCTGTCTCGCCGGCATTCATCCGTCATCCGCCGGTCGTCTGTCATCCGCAGTCGCAAATCAGTCACGCACCATCTAGCAGACGTCATGCGACGACATCATCGGCGGATGTCATGCGTCAGACGTTATCTGTCATCTGCCATGTGCCATATGACATGAAACAGACGTCACCGTGCGGTATCAACTCCTACGTCTGGCACCGCGAGACTCGCTGGCGATTGTGGCAGAAGCGAACCGCGTTCCCCGTTAGAGGTCCCCAGCCATCTGTTGTGTGGGCCGAAGATCAGCTGTGCTGTGACTCGGACCGCCTCCCATTGCGGCAGGCGGGCCTCGCCGGTCAGCGCGGTGCCGGCCAGTTAGCAGCAGTCATTCGGGGCCACCACGTGACGTCACCAACTGATCGGCCCAGACCGATGACGTCAGCGCGGGCCGGCCAGGTGCGGCCTCGGTGTAGCCTTCACATAGCTCGAGTCCGGAGGAAAGGGACCGCGGATAATCTGTGGAGGTCATGCGAGGGGCTTGGTGGCTTGCTCAAACGATGGTCGTGCGCTGGCACAGTAGCGGTGATCGAGGCACGGCTGACACCGACTGGCGCAGAGGGCACAGTGGCGGTGATCGGGGTACGGCTGTGTCACCGACTGACAGACGGCCTGAGCTGATGACTCATGCTCCGAGGATATCACCAAGTGTCGGCGCAGTTTAAAGCTGAAGAGTATCTTCTGCTCTTAACCAGGTCACAGCTGGCCTCGCATGTCAAACCTGATTAAAAGAAACGCCGTCCTCTTGGTGTTGGCAGCCTTGCGGGGCGGTCCGCGATGAAAGGGTTCATTTCCGCGCGGCCCACCGACCAGTCTCAAAAGCTCACGCCGACAGCTGCCCTGCTTACCAGTCAGCATCGCGCCTCTTCCGGCCACCCTGTTACATTTCCTCGGAACGACCAGAGACCATCCCGCGGGGCTGAGCGCTGGCCGCGTCCGAGGGCTTACACACGGTCGACGCCGCCGCTCGGGAACTAGAGCGCCGCCTGCCGACGGCGGCGCCCCTCAGCCCGCGGCCGCCGCGGCGTCCGGGCCGCGGCAGCTGGCGGCTCGGCGGCCGTGGGAGCGTCCAGCGTCCGGCGCACGTCATTATCGACAGCGCGTGCCGGCCGGCGCTTGCCGCTGGTGAAATCGATAGTGCGCCGCTCTCGATCATGCGTGGGCCACATCATCGAATCGGGAGGAGGGCGTCGGGTTCACACACGTGCGGCACGTGCGTCTGCGGCTCCGGCTCCGGCTGCACTCTCGTCCCCCTCCGGCAGACATCTGGCGGAGCGAGGCGCGCGCGCTCGTAACCGCGCCGCGCGCCATTGCCCGTCCCATCTGGCGACCGTCTGGGGTGGCCGCGGCTGGTCGAGAGGCCGCGCTGGACTCACTGACAGCCTGCCGTGTCCACCACTCAGGCCAAGTGCCCCACTCCTCGGATTGCTGAAACCGTCCGGCACACACCTCCGCCTCGATGGCTCGTCGCCAGACTGCTAATTGTGACGTCGCGGCGGTCTGCTGGCCCGGGCTCGCCCGCCGGTACAGACGCGGACATGCTGCCGGACGATAGCTGGATACTCGCGAACAAATGCCGCTGCTTAAGGCGTATCTGCAGCCGTGAAAACACGACTGCAGGCCAGGCGCAAGTACAAGGCGTCTGGCCGTGGATTAGACACTGACGCGGGAGGTATGCGGGGCGCCGCCGCGGCCGTTTTTACGTCTCGTCCATCCATCGACGCCGGCGGGGGGCCAACTGCGCCGCTAACGAGGGAGAGCCCCGCCTACCCGGCTGAGACGCGTCCACCGGGGCAGCGGCCCCCGCTGGCCAAGTCGGCAGTATCTGCCTCTGGGGAGCTCCCTCGTGGCTGCTCCACAGCTGCGCCTTCCCTGCGGGGTCTGACTGGCGTTGACTTCCCTGCGGGGTCTGACTGGCGTCGTGGTCAGTGTCAGGAGACAGCTCTGATGCGCGGGTTTTGCGTTCTGTGGCACGTGCTTGTAACACGTGCTAACACCAAGCACGCATCCGTGGGACATGACATGCGCCATATGTGCTGCCCGGACCGTGCTCTGCGCGTGTTTGCGTGCACCCGTGCGCGTGGCGCGTGGCGCAGCACAAGTTGCGTGCGTCTCGTGTCATGCACGGCACGTGCTCCGCGCGTCACGTGCGCGCGCGCGAGGCGGCGCGCTGGCGGCCCGCCCGATTGGCCGGGGCTGGCGCAGCGTCAGGGGATCTCGGGCAGTGTGCCGGCCAGCTGGGCAGCGGCGGCAGCGGCCCGCCCAGGTGCATCCGTCACCGCCGGGCCGCACCGGCCAACGTCAACATACGCGCCGCCGCCCGGCCGTGACGTCACGCCGCCTGAATGGCCGAGCCGCCGCCGCCGCCGGAGACGGAGACGGAAGACGGCGGCGGGCGGGCGCGGGGAGAGGGGCGTGCGCTCACGCGGCCGACCGGGACCCCGTGCGCCGCGGCCGCCCGATCACACGTGACCCCGGTCACCGGCTCACTCTGCAGGGGCACGATGACCGCGTGCTTCCCGTCCCCGGCGGCCATGGTGGGAGGCCACAGGGAGCGTCACGCCAGCAGCCACACGTCGCCGCCCAAGCTGGACGTGATCCAGGACCTGGACCTCTACTACATCCGTCAGCTGGCGCACAACAACAAGGTACTGGCGCCGCCGCGCTGTGGCGTGTTTGCATGTCGTGACACGCAGTCACGAGCGGCGTGGTCATTTATAGCGGCGGTTGGCCGCACGTCGTCGCAAGGAATCATGAGGGCAAGGACTGTCGAGTGTTTACCAGCGCCGGTGGCGTACAGGTGCTGCGATGACAGTGGAAATACGCCCGTCGTGGTGTGAGGCAGTAGCATATTCTTCATGTCGAACGACTGCGAGTGTGTCAGACTTGTAACTGATATAAAAATGATAGGTTTCGGTTATGAAATGTGCTGCAGATTACCGTAGCAAGGTAGAAACACCGACATGATGTTCTTTCACTCATTGCGCGGCACGTCCAGCGCTGAGACCCGGGATTTGCCTAAGACATGACGGGATTTGCCCGGGAGCCTAAACCTGACGTACCAATAGCATGAACGCATCTTTCTGAACGGTTTTTGCTTTCGGATTCACACGATCGGTATTCAAGGCTGGGAGGGGTAACGGTGAGACTACCTTGACCCAAGGCTTCCACCATGGACACCTGCGCCCATCCCTGAGAAACTGATCCGCAGCGAGGAGTGAAGCTCTTCCCCGTGCACGACTAACGTTTGGAATTCCGTTTAGCTCGTGCTGGTCTGGTCCATTCGCCCATTGACCTTTGATCCTCGACCACCCACGGGTGTATGTGAGATGTGGCGATGCAGCTGCATCCATCAGCTCAGAAAACTATTTTTAAGTCCATGGTGTTGCGTAGAGAGACCTGGTGCAAAAATGTTACTTCCTCCATTTTTGGAAAATTTCGTTACTTCTCCCTCCTGCCACTCAGACAGGGAAAGTTTCCTGGGGCACCAGCCCGTCATCACTTCACGGTGCCCCCCGATGCAGACCAGTTCCAGTGAGGCCTGAACTGGCCTGGCGCTGTTCGCCATCTGTAGTGCGCCGCACTGCTGGCCCTGTCTGTCCCTGTCTTGTCGGCTGTCCGAACGCCGTCGGACCTGTCTGGCCGGCTGCCCGGACGCCGGCGGTCTTGTCCGGCCGGCTGTCCGGACGCCGGCGGTCTTGTCCGGCCGGCTGTCCGGGCGCCGGCAGGCCTGTCTGGCCGGCTGTCTGGGCGCCGGCGGGCCTGTCTGACCGGCTGTCCGGACGCTGGCGGTCTTGTCCGGCCGTCTGTCCGGGCGCTGGCTGTCCTGTCCGGCCGTCTGTCCGGGCGCTGGCGGTCCTGTCTGGCCGGCTGGCCGGACACTGGCGGTCCTGTCCGGCCGGCTGGCCGGGCGCCGGCGGGCCTGTCTGGCCGGCTGTCCGAGCGCCGGCGGGCCTGTCTGGCCGGCTGGCCGGGCGCCGGTGGCGGTCACCCACCAGCTCCTCTACCGTCTGCTGCCGTGGCAACAGACGCGCCCCGGACCGTAATGTCGCCGGCTATCTGCGGCGGTCGGTGCGCCGCCAGTGGTCGGGGTTGCGTTTCCGGCGTGCTGCTGCACGTGACGGGCCGGGGACCGGTGCGGGGGCGGGCGCTGTTTACGCGGTGGGCGTCTGTTTGGTGGACAGGCGGCGGCGAGGCACGCTCGCGAGGCGGGCGGGCTGGACCGCACAGTGCTGTCAGGCCCAGCAGGGCGTGGACTGTGAGGGATCGCCTCTCATGGCGCGCAGTGGAGACCCCACGTGGTGGTGGCGCGGCCATCGGTGTATGGCCATCGGAGTGAACCACATGATGGTGATTTCCACTGCCTCGAGTGGAACGATCATGATGTTGATGTTGAAATAATGGTGTTGCCATGCTCGGTGGGGAATAAGCTAAACAGTGTTGCCGCGCCCAGCGGGGAGTGGACGGCATGGTGTTTCCGTTCCCGATAAGCAGCTTCGGACTACGGCATTGTAACAGCCGGATGGAAGACGGACAGGCAAACCGGCATACAAGTCCAGTTACGCCGTCTTCTTCTGAATGGCTTGCGCGGTGCTCCGTACTCCACGCGGGGTATAATGATCGGTGCTTCTGCGCTCCGTTGGTGCAGGGCCGCGCGTCGTCACCCGTGCCCAGAGCCGGGAGTGAGCTGCATGGCGTGGCTGTGACCACTGTGAAGTGGGCTGCGCGGTGTTCCCGTTCCCGGTGTGCCGTGGGCTGCACGACGTCATATCCACTGGTCGATAGACTGCATGGCGATAGTCGTGCACGGTGCACGGTGTCGAATGGGCTGCGCACTGGCATGTCGGGAGGGGGAAATGTGCTGCATGACGTCAGCATTCCCAGAGGGAACTGAAGTGCACGGACTTGCTGTGCCGATTGGGAAATGGAACGTGCGTCGATGCTTTGCGTAAACGAAGGCGATCACAGTAGATCGTTGACCTCCGCTGGGTGCGGTCGCCGACCACCGCAGTCCGGTCCGTCTCCGGGCTTCTGAGACCTCCGATTGGGGACTCGGTCTCGCCTTACCTGATCTCGGGCAGCTGTCTCTCCAGACAACGCCCACGGGAGGTCGGGTGGTGGAGCGTCGGTGGCCCGCAGCCCGCTAGGGGGGCCTCGCACACATCATGTGACTCCTGCCGCTCACAAGCTGGGGTCGGGGTCCCCCCCCCCCCTTTCCCGGCCTGCAAGAGCTGAGGCCAGGCCCACCCCCTTCGGCATCAGCTCACCGAGAGCCGCCGTCATCTAATACGCCCCGATGAAGCGGCTGCGCCGTTGTGCAATTGCGCGTGAATTATGCGGACAGTGTCAGGCCACTGAGCGGCGGCGGCCGGCCGCCCGTCCGATTGCGTCACCGCGCCCGCCTGCGTGGCGGCCCTTTGACGCCCCCTCGGCGGCCGACCGGGACGCCGCGCCGGCCGGCCCCGACCCGAGACGGGCCGGTGATAGGGGCGCGCGTGACCCGCTCTGGAGCGCGCGCCGTGCGTGGCGCAGCGGGAGCCGGCCCCCCGCCGTTTCACAACGGCCGGCCGCCTGGTCCGGGGCGCCCCCCCCCCCTCCCTCCGCCGGCCGGTGTCGGCGCGCTGAGGCCATGTTAACCGCCGGGTATGCACCGGCCGCCGATTACTCTCTGTCGCCGTTATCATGCTCGCTGGCTTTGCCGCTCAAATCTAGAGTGTCAGTCTACTCTCTTGTCTGTTAGCCGTGTAGCACAACTGTTCATCTCCGTAGCATAGATGTATCGATGGACGTAGAGCCAATAGTGTTCATTTCAAGCAAAACATAGACACGTTGTATGGACCAGGGTAAAGCAGCAATAATTTTTGATGGGTAAATATATGTAACTCATTAGTCGAGTTGCATGAAGTCAAAGAATGCTTGGTAGCTGTTGAAAGTGAGCATATACCCTTTTCTTCCCAAGCAGGTCTTTGCTGCCTACCATTTTACGATATGTGCAGTTTTGCCGCAGGGGCCCTTTATAGATGACAAGTGCTGTTGCGAACGACATTTTTCCTATGCGTTAACTTTTACTCTCATAGACTATGCTAGATAGCAACAAATTTGGGAAAGGAAAAATGATTGTAAGACATTTATCTCTTTTTGCGATCAGTTTATGAATATTCCTTTCGTTCGATGTTTTACCTCTTGGTATTCAACTGCCGTCACTTCACTGCACTAAAAAATGACATCATTATCAGTTAACACTGAGACAATAAGGTACGGTTACATCTCCGCACTGCTTTGTCCGTATCGGGTGCACATTGTTCCGCTTTGTATCTCTGGACGTGTCTATGCACTGCACGCATCTCTAAGCGCGTCTATGCACCGCTCTATCTTGGGGCCTGTACCGCTTTATCCCGGTGTGCGCCCGCATCGCCCCGTACCCCAGGTTGTCGGCCTGTGTGCGGCCCTGTCGGCTGTGTCGGGGTGTGCCTGTACCGCTCTATCTCGGGCGTGTGCCTGTATCGTCCTGTACTTCAGGTTGTTGGTCTGTGTGCCGCTCTGTCGGCTGTGTCGAGGTGTGCGTATACCGCTCTATCTCAGGTGTGTGCCTGTATCGTCCTGTACCTCAGGCTGTCGGCCTATGTGCCGCTCTGCCGGCTGTGTCGCTCCAATCGCGCCGTTACGCCAGAACCGTTCGCCGTCTTTCAGGCCTCTGATGAATGCTAATCTCGCGCGTGCGTGACAGGTATGACAAAGCAAGTGCACTTGACGAGCGGCGGCCGCTGTCCGGCCGTTTCAGCGTGACCTGCACCTGTCCGGAGTCCGCTCGTCAGCGCCTGCTCCTAGTCTGTCACTAGCGCTGCATCTAAGTGGGCTTTGAAACTGGTGCCAGGTTAGGCGCTGCGGCTTTGGCTGTTGTGTAGAGAGGTCTTTGCGGTTGCGGTGCTACACGTTGCATTAAGATCGAATTTGCTCTGTTGGAAATACCGCGTCCTTTGTTACCGGCTCATCGGGTTGAGTAACCGTGCTTTGGCCTCACCGGCTTCTGGGCCCCACTGCGCCTCAAAAGGGAAAACAACTAGCGTCTTTTAACATATCTGGTGAGATTCCTTGCCCGTCCGAAGCGTAACCACTCCGGTGTCGGCTTGCTAAGCGAAGCAGTGAAACACCCTTGAAACGGTGTTGTCGCCGCCTGCCATCGCGAGTCGGATTTTATGAGGGTCTGGAGCTCCTTGACCGCACAAATCCGGCCCGGCCTTTAGCCTTGACGGGCCGTCATTGTCACGTGGTTGGAGGGCTCCTCCCATTTGGATTGACTCTGGCGAGCGGTGGAGCGGCCTGCTCGAGCCGGGCTCTGTCAGCAGCACCGCTGACCGGCGTGGCCCGCTGCTGGACGTCACAGGAGGCGCGTGCCTGTGCGTCAGAGTGCTGCTCGCCTTCAGTGACCTTCAGTGGTCAGCTCGGTGGGTACTCTATATGCACGCATTCGTCGGCTACTTTGTGACGTGTTTGTGTGCGTGATTCCCATGGGGTTCCGTTTCGTGCTTGCGGTGTTGGCTTCGGCTGAGTTGCGCCTGGTTTCGATCATGATCGCGCCACATGCGGCGGCGTGCGTTCCGTTCTGCAGCCCAAGGTACAGAATGATGCATCAACTAGTAAAACTTGC